CTGCCGTGGTTCCAGTAATTGGTTTACATAATGGAACTTTTCGCAGGCAATGTGCTGATTCAGGCTGTGAAGATCCAGAATGGGTCTGAATTCTCCTGTCTTCTTGGGAACCAGGAAGTACATGGAGTAAAGCCCCTTTTCTCTGTCCTGAGAGTGCACACTGTTCAAAGGAAACATCAGTATGTAATCTCCTCCTGGATGATAGATTTGCCTGAATGGAGAAGGGACGCTGCAAAACTGGAGTGAAGTTTCAGTGTCCTGTCCATCCACTCTGTCAGTACACAGCTGAGCTTCCATTCCCCATAAAACTGTGTTAGGGGACCTGCAAGTAGCTGTGGAGTCGCAGCTAAGAAGCTGTAGCACTCTCTGGTGGCCTACTCCGCTGCCAAACCTTCCATAAAAGGAAGATTGGCCCATGGGGGGCTGACACAGAAAGGGCCGATTTTCTACTGAGGTCCTTGAACGCACCTCGGCACGCTCTCGTGGGGCCCAATAGTATGAAGCTGCAGCGTCGGAGACTGCAGTTTCAGGAAAAACTTTCACGCCGGCAATAGTGTCTCTTGAACCCGCACAGTGCTTTGACAGCACTTTCTGCGGTTTATTCCACTCACGTGCGCGCGCCCACCTGCTGCTTCATTTACTGGAGTGTACAGTAGGGCGGCGAGTGTGGGACAGTGTTCTGTCCTCGGAGGATGAGCGTAACCCCCAGTTTCCACTGGGTCCGTCTGCGCTGCGCCGCGCTGCGCCGCGCTGCGCCGCGGTTTTGGTCCGACCTCCTCTAGCGCCATAACCAACACATCCTCACTCCCAGGTCGGCCTATGTTGACGTTATGTCAAGTCCCCTGTCGGCTTTTTCCAACGCAAGGGGGGGGGCCTTAGCGTCCATTTTCAACGCAAGGGGGGGGCCCTTAGCGTCCATTTTCAGCTTTCCGGGATGTCCATATGCTTCTATGGACGCTCATGGAAGCACGGCATTCGTTGTGTCGGCTGCCCTTAAAGGCAATGTGAGCGTCCATTCTCATTGGATAACGGAGAATTGTACACCCGGAAGTAAGTATTCCCCTTACTGTCGATTGATTTTACAGTGATATCTGCACTACTCATCGACTAAAAAACACCAGATTATCCTTGTTAATTACACAACATTGATTGGTTTAAATTGTGTGCAATGCTTTTGTATTTTTCCCCTTCGATTCGGAGAAACAATATGTTTTCGGAGTAAAGGATGGCAGAAAGACACTACACTACCCAGAATCCCCAGCTATCGTTTGGACTACACCATGTGCTCTGTTTGACGTCACGTGATCTTCAAATTTCTCCCTGCAGAAAAAAAAAAACATGGCCGAACTTCGTTTTATTCTCGGTGGAAAATGCCTATTTTAAAGTTAGTTTGGCCATTAAAATGTGTTTTGATGTCATTTGATGCGAGAAATATGAGTTGTTATTTCAGATTATGTGTGCAGTGGATGTACATGATCTTTAGTTTGCTAGTTATTACGAAGATTACTTCAGGAAATTGCGTCCATAACGTTTTCATTGTTACCAAGGTGGTTGCTAGGGACGCTGCTATCGATATTATTTCTGTTATGTTGTGTAACTGTTTAATGGTGTTATCTTATTGCTACCCCCTGTACCCGTCAATGTATAGTGTTGGTCCACAGCGCAAACATATTAGTTTAACAAAATCCGCATCTAAAGATACGTTATTTTCCCCTGTGCAATTCCAGTCTCACATCTCACAGCACATCGTCATTAACAAATAACGGAAACAGACCGAAAACATTTAAAAAAATAAAATAATACTTTATTCCGAGTGTGCTTGCTTTTCTCTTTGAAAGTCATCACATACCGGCATTGTAATACACGGTTCGGCTGCATTAAATATTACATATCTGCCGTAGTTTCTGTATTTATAGAGCCCTGATGAGAAGACTTCTAGACAAACATGAGGAACTGAAAACGTGACGTGGATCATAAATATATCAGCCATTAAACAACATCTTACATTTCTTTCACACAATACGTCTCCTTGCAGTATCAACACTAATTCGGCTGACTTTTATATTTGATCCAATTGGTAGATAGGCTGTATTTACACCATAAAGGTGCACAGCTGATATAAAGGGACACCTAGTGGTTAAAGCATGTTATTGAATTTCATTATTTTTATTATTAGATATTAATAGGATCCCTATAAAGTATATTCATTACTCGTTATTCTCTACTAATAGATAATTAAAGACTGTATATAATGACTATTTTGCACATCCCTTTCAAGATTTCAAGATTTTCTAAGGTGTATTGACATATCATATAGGCCTACACAACTATGGTGTAGTTCTGCATTGAATGAAAAACTTGGGTCGCAGGTTCTTCAATAGTGCATTACAAGACATCTATCAATATTTGTGCATACCTCCAGCAATGTTAACTATGTTGAAGCACTTATTTTAACTGATATTATACATAATGTATTATACTCTTATAAGATGTATGTAGATATTTCATCTCCGACCTTGTCAGGTATTGAACAATCAATAAATAAAGAACACAGAATTGTTGAATATAAAACACAGAATTTGTGTGATTATACTAAATGATTTACAAATAAACACCACTGCATATTTACAACTGTTACACATGCAGATGTAACGCAAATGTTCCAACTTGGGATCAATAAAGTATATCTTATCTTAAGCTGATCGATGGCTACTGCCATATTTGCAAAATGTGCCTCTGAACCTTAACAAGTTTCAGGCTTATCAATTAATGTAATGTAATGTAATCAATTAACAACAGGAGGGGTCAAAAACATAAGACCAGCTGTTAAATAAAGCTCTTCTGACCTTAGCTGGCATGTGTATATATATATTAATGCTGCCCATTATGGGCACAAGCAATTTTCACCCATTTATTAATTATATGTTTTAAATGTGAGTGTTTCCTACCCCCTAAACCTCCAGGGATATACACAGTTTAATACTGGCAACTTCTTATTATGGGAAATACGAAAACGTCTTTTAAAACTACAACTCCCAGTAGAGACGTGCCATAGATACAGAACATGTTGCGAAACAGAATAGCCAGCATGTGTAGTTCTGGGGACGGGGTGGGGGAGGGGGGACGCGGTGGACCCGTTCAAATCCAGTTTTGGACAGTCTGCCGTGATTCCATCCCATTTCAAGTGCTGTTCGAGGCTCGGCGTAACCCTCGGAGCACACTCTCCAATCACAGAGCTTGAGGACTATCACGGGGTTTGTCAAACAGAGCACATGGTGTAGTCCAAACGATAGCTGGGGATTCTGGGTAGTGTAGTGTCTTCTGCCATCCTTTACTCCGAAAAAACATTTGTTTCTCCGAATCGAAGGGGAAAAATACAAAAGCATTGCACACAATTTAAACCAATCAATGTTGTGTAATTAACAAGGATAATCTGGTGTTTTTTAGTCGATGAGTAGTGCAGATATCACTGTAAAATCAATCGACAGTAAGGGGAATACTTACTTCCGGGTGTACAATTCTCCGTTATCCAATGAGAATGGACGCTCACATTGCCTTTAAGGGCAGCCGACACAAACCAATGCCGTGCTTCCATGAGCGTCCATAGAAGCATATGGACATCCCGGAAAGCTGAAAATGGACGCTAAGGGCCCCCCCCTTGCGTTGAAAATGGACGCTAAGGCCCCCCCCCTTGCGTTGGAAAAAGCCGACAGGGGACTTGACATAACGTCAACATAGGCCGACCTGGGAGTGAGGATGTGTTGCCATAACCTACCGGACGCGTCCCAGAAGCGTTTCAGAAGCGGAGCGTCGTGCGTGCAGACTCGCAGTTTTGTTATTGATTCGGGCATCCTGGACATTTGTACTTCTACAAGAAAGTAAGTAGGCTACGTAGTTAAATGTTTTATTTTTGTGTCTGTTTAAATTGTGTTTATTGAATGGCTCTGTACTGTACCTACAAGTAGGCTATTAATTAACTTTAAAACATTAATATGTAGTTGTTACCTTCCACTCCACAAACTGCAGCGACTAAAAACCAGGCCTTGTCCTTTCTGATGTTGTCCTTGTAGTAAGCATTGGTTACATCATATAAAATAGTGTGTTTTTCTACTTCCATGATGAAAACCTCGTCGTCCATTGTGCGTATCGTAGTGGAGGTGTTGTGATGAAGGAGGGGGTCTGCTAAATTAGTATATGTGGGGGGTGGGCCTGGCCCGGATGCTCACCTTTCCACTTCCTGCGAGAGGGGGCTGCCTGCCCGACCTTATGTTACGGCTGCGCCGCGGCAAAAATAGGATTCATCCTAATTTTAGAGAAGCGCTGCGCCGAGCCGCTTCTGGGACGGTTCTGGGACGTGTCTAAGCCGTAACACGTAGCCACCTTATATACTGTGTGCCTGCGCGCGCATTCAGGTAGGCTCGCCCCGATTGGCCGGCTACGTTTATGCAACTCAGTGTGTGAATGCTCGCATTTCATGGTTAAGGGTAGTACCTATAGAGTCCAGTAGAGGGCGGAGCCTGTGTTAAATATAACCTCCCTCCATTCTAGATTTGCAGCCCTCTTCTGTGATTCCTTCCTCCTTCAACCATCCTTTCAAGTCCTTTTTCCTCAACACCGCTCTTGCTTCATGCTGCCTTCTCTACATCTCACTACTGAACCCTACATTGTTTCCCTTTTCCCCCATGTTCTTCCTTTGTGAACTATAGACTCTCCCCCTTATCACCCCCTGCCAAATCATAAACCATACTAATACAATTAAAGGTACTGTTTATAGATTGTAGATCAATTGAAAGAAACCCTCCTCCTTTCTTTCTCTCTGCTCACTCCTGCTTGTTTGCTCTTTCCTGCCCCTCTTTCCTTTTCAGTATCCCTCATTTTGCCCTTATCCCTCTTTCCCTTCTTTCAGTTTGATATTTTTCATTGACTTGAAACAGCCTTTGTGTCTTTTAATACCTCAATTTGATTTGAAGTGACTGACGTGTATCTGCGCTCCTCTTCAGGTGGAGCGGGGCTTCCGGGCGGTTCATATATCGGGGGTGGAGCTGCAGCACATGGGCCAGCAAACAATGGGACACTACCCAGTCCATTTCCATATGAACGGAGACGTGGACGAGAGGGGGGGCTACGACCCCCCCACAGCTGTCACCGACCTGTCCATCCACCACTCCTTCTCGCGCTGCGTCACCATCCACAGCTCCAACGGACTGCTGGTACGTAAGGAAGATTTATTCAAGTTTAATTTTTCAATTGTAATACATTTAGAGTATTTGTAAGCATAATTAAGAAAAAGTTAGACCTTTTGGTAAATATGCTTATTGTTCAGGTATTATCTTCGTGTCTAACGCTTGTGAATAAGCACAATTCCTGCAATTGAAGACTTGTATATAGTATAAAGTTGCCATTTGATTGACCTAAATTGTTTTATATTTAGGTCAGAGCACATTTTCAATTGGCAGGTCACATTTAAAACACCCACACTTGATGACACACTTAATTGAAAACACTTTATGACACCAAAAAGAACATTCCTGTGTGAACTTGAAATGGATTTAAACTAAATTAAAGAGGACATATTATGTTCATTTTCAGGTGTATATCAGTATCTAGTGTCTCTACTAGGACATGTCTTCATGCTTTAAAGGTCTCATGTCATGCTTTTCTGGTTATTACCCGTCCCCTTGTGTGTTATGTAGCTTTTTATGCATGTAAAAGGTCTGCAGAGTCACAAACCCTCAAAGTACACCCTGTAGCGAGTAAAACTCTAACACAGAGAAGACCTGTCTGTGCTGCCCCAGAAACGCCTCGTTGGAGATTTCTCTTTTTCTTCCTGGTACAGTGACATGAACATGCCCAGGTCCAAATGGACCAATCCGTGGAGCTCCTCACACACTCTGCCGTATCTTTTCTCACACTCTGCCGTATCTTTTCTCAGCCGCAGCTGCGTGGATCTCCACTCACAGTTCGCCACACACTCACATGTGTGCTCAGGCTGAGTTCATGCTGAGTTTCGCGCAGTCTCGAGAAACCGTTTCCAACGGTTTCAACCGTTTCCTGGTTGCTGTCTCGCAGCAACCAGGAAACGACACCAGTAATCCAGCTGACACTGTCGGCTCCTCGAGCCTCAAAGGGCGGAGCAGCGAGCCCCGCAACGTCCCGCCAACACGGCACCCAGACCCCACGCAGCATTCTCATCTGTTTGTCTGGTGTCATTTTCTGGTTGCTAACAAACACCATTGTAACACATAAATACACATCAAAGCACACTGGGCTCACAGGGAGGGGGGGGGGCAGGAGCTCCAACAAGCCGTGTAGGACAGAGAGTGAATACACAGACTATACAGAGATGCTGTATGAGAAACCAATGTGAGTTTGGAACATTGAACAATGTAAATCTATTCTAGTAGACCTCAACAATGGAAAAATGATCAGTAGAAATGGCCATGACATGGGACCTTTAATGTTCAGAAAGCTCTTTATTGTTCTCATACTGCCTGTGCTGCAGCACCTCTTTTCACCCTCTGTCTGAAACCAGAGCCCGGTCTGCTTTGATTGGTTAGCTGGCCGGCTCTGTTGTGATTGGTCAACAGCTTAGAGATGTCCCGCCCCTTAGCCTATCACATACAATGTGTTGAAGCGCTAGACAATAGAAGTGTGAGTGTTACATAGTGATGTCACTTTGTCACAAAAGTAAACAAAGGAGTCCAATGGAGGCGTTTCAGGCAGGGGGGGGGTTAGCCTTTGCGAACCATTTACATGCACAATAACATAACCCACTACAGGAAAGGGAAACCCCGGTAAATAGCATAATAGGACCTCTTTAAAAAACGACAGTATGTACAGTCAAAGTTTTCAGCTTTCTTTTGGGGTTTTTTAATTGACAAAAATAGCTCATCAGGCAGGTTGTTGCTCCTCATCACCTCCATTTCCTGTTGGTTCCCATGTTAAATCCCCTAGTTTTCCCAGAAACAACAATTACTGAAGAAACTTCAGAGTGCCTGAATAACTAAACATTTTTATAATCACAGTTTGATCTGTAGGTCCAATTGAAAGAGCAGACAGAAATAGCTGAAGGGTAATTTTCAGGTTCTAATTTCATGCCATCAATGCAGGAAGTCAGCCAAGGACATCGATCCACATCCTTTTATAACAGATGCATTCAGTGAGCAACCTTCATCTGAATGTTTGGGGCACTATCTTAGAACACAATATCTCAATACATCTGTGCCCAGAGACAAGAAGAAAAGATACTCTGAAGTGATGTTTTAGAGTCTCACTTCTTGCAGTATTCAGTCATTTTCAGTCAAATTGTATGATATGCATTAAGTAACAAAAGAGCACCCCCCCTCTCCAGGTTGAGAAATGTTACATTTAACATCTTAAATTAAGCCCTGAAAAAGTTTCAGTCAATTTTGGAAATGATTTCTCCAAATTGAGGAGCAAGGCATTGCACTAGTGTGATGATCCTGTGTTTCATCTGTCTTGCCCCCAGGTGAAGGACGTGGTGGGCTATGACACGCTGGGCCACTGTTTCTTCACGGAGGACGGTCCAGAGGAGAGGAACACGTTCGACCACTGCCTGGGTCTGATGGTGCGAGCCGGAATGCTGCTGCCTTCAGACAGAGACAGCAAAATGTGCCGGCACATCACCGAAGGATCGTACCCAGGATATGTAGCCAACCCCCGGCAAGACTGCAGGTACCACACACCGAGAACTGAATGCACGTCTTGACCTCTTCTATCCCATGGAGGGTCTCTGCCCAGTGAATACATATGTTTTCTTACATCGAAGCTTCTTAAGGAACATTTAAACATTGGTTTTCAGAAAAGACAGATGTAAAACTCAAAATAACTCAACTAATATCGTCCTAGAGCCAAGGAAAATGTGTGATACTCAAGGTAAGAAAATGCAGACTTTACTTTAGTGTTCAACCTGCAGCGCAGAGACCACACCTTTAACAACTTGTTCTCCTGTTCCCGTCGTCGTGCTGCTCTGAATGACCCGAAAGCACATTTGAAAGTGGTCACTCCCTGGCTGAGCTGAATCTGAGCGGTGCTGACTCATCGAATCTCTCAGACAATGGGGGGTGAGGCCATGCCTCCCTTATTGAAAGTCTGAGCAAGTAGCAAGGGAATCAGCAAAGTCACCATGAATGTCCCGCAGCCCCTTCATGTACAAACCAAACCATCCTTTTGCCAGGGAAGATTCAGAGTGTAAAGACATCATCTGTAAGAGTCAGCCATGAAAAGAGCTAATCGAAATTCCCTACATACTAAGGAAAGGTGCTTTAATGCTTGTTTTCTTAAGCGAACACTTTATACATTAATAATATTATATATTATATGTATATGCATTGTTTGATTATATGTATTCATCTTTAAAGTAATCCTTTGGAGATGTGATAGAGCTTTAGTAAAGGAACCTTACAACTCTGTTTTGCAACACTTTACAATGAATCGAACACATCAGAGAAAGGTTGAACTTCAATACAACGCAGCTGTCAAGTTGCTGTGTGACTATATCATATGACAACATGATGTCAATCTAAGTTTCACCAGTAAAGGGTTTGCATGGAACTAATTCTGCACAGCGTGTTCCACGACTAACACATGGAGTTATGCACAGGTACCAGTATGCCAATAAAATGATTTCTTTAAAAATTGAGATCATTAGTGTAACGTAGCAGTATTGTGTGGCAGAGAGTAATGCACCTGTCACAGCGACATCGTAGCAATTCAATATTTTCACTTATACTTCACACAAAGACAATTCACCAGCCTCTTAATCAAGTTCACTATACATTTGAGTGATTAGTCGGGATCCAATACATTGACATGCCTCTGATACCACGCACACTACACAGAGCACCAATTCATCTTGAAACAGTGTTATTAATATATCAATCATATTTCTTCTTTCTTTCTTAAGAGGATATAAGACAGTGTTGTCCTGCTGAACTGCAGTGGAGGGATCACACACGGCACTACTGTGATTAGTGAAGTGAAATATAGAGATCAGACCGTGTGATGATAATAAATACACTCTTTGACAGGGATGTGACGACAGCTCCACAAATGGAAAGTCGCCCCCTCAGGATTCATATTTATCATATTTGGATAGTGCAGCGCTGCATAACATGAACAGAGATTCTTAACTCAACCTCCACCTGTCTTTTTCCTCCCACATGTATGATCTGAATTTGGTTCTAAAATACCACGCAGAATAAGTGAGGTAACGGCAAACTGTTTGTGTACCTGTACCTCTGGAAGATAACCAGCTGACTGCTAAGTCCCCGTTACCTGCATTGGAAGCAAGGCAAGGCAAGGCAAGTTTATTTATATAGCACTTTTCAACACAAGGCAATTCAAAGTGCTTTACAAAAAATGAAAGAGATTAAGAAAATGGCATTTAAAATCAGTCATTAAAAAGAAAAGCTAATAAAATAAACATTAAAAGAAAAAAATACATGGCAGTCAATTAAACATTAAAAGAAAAAAAGTACATGGATAAAAGTTACAGTGCAGTCTAAGATATGAATAGTTCAATTAAAAGCAGCGACAAAAAGAAAAGTCTTCAGCCTGGATTTAAAAGTAGTCAGAGTTGCAGCTGACCTGCAGGTTTCTGGGAGTTTGTTCCAGATATTTGGAGCATAATAACTGAACGCTGCTTCTCCATGTTTAGTTCTAACTCTGGGGACAGAAAGCTGACCAGTCCCTGAAGACCTGAGAGATCTGGATGGTTCATAATTTAGCAGGAGGTCAGAAATGTATTTTGGGCCTAAACCATTCAGTGCTTTATAAACCAGCAGCAGTATTTTGAAATCTATTCTTTGACACACAGGAAGCCAGTGTAAAGACTTCAGAACAGGAGTGATGTGATCCACTTTCTTAGTGTCAGTGAGGACTCGAGCAGCAGCGTTCTGAATTAGCTGCAGCTTCCTAATAGATTTTTTAGTGAGACCTGTGAAGACACCATTACAGTAGTCGAGTCTACTGAAGATAAAAGCATGGACAAGTTTTTCCAAATCCTGCTGTGACATTAGTCTTTTAATCCTAGATATATTCTTTAGGTGATAGTAGGCTGATTTAATAACTGTTTTAATGTGACTGTTTGAAACTCAGGTCAGAGTCCATGACTACACCTAGATTTCTGGCTTTATCTGTTGTTTTGAACATTGCACACTGAAGCTCAGCGCTAACTTTTATACGTTCTGCCTTGGCTCCAAAAACCATTACCTCAGTTTTATCTTTGTTTAATTGGAGAAAGTTCTGACACATCCAGTCATTGATTTGTTCAATGCACTTACTCAGTGTTTGAATTGGAGCATAGTCTCCTGGTGAAATTGTTACGTAAATTTGTGTGTCATCTGCATAGCTATGGTAACTTATTTTGTTGTTCTTCATTATCTGAGCCAGTGGTAGCATGTAGATGTTAAAGAGAAGAGGCCCCAAGATGGAGCCTTGAGGAACCCCACATGTCATATTTGTCAACTCAGATGTGTATTTACCTATAGAAACAAAGTTGTTTCTGTCCTTTAAGTAGGATTCAAACCAATTCAGAACTGTTTCCGAAAGTCCCACCCAGTTTTCCAGTCGGTCTAGTAATATGTTGTGGTCAACAGTGTCAAACGCAGCACTGAGATCTAATAATACTAACACTGAAGTTCTGCCACTGTCTGTGTTTAAGTGGATGTCATTAAAGAGCTTTACAAGAGCAGTCTCAGTGCTGTGGTTTGGACGAAAGCCTGACTGGAACACATCGAAACAGTTATTTAAATGCAAGAAATTACTCAACTGTTGAAAAACAACTTTTTCAATGATTTTACCTAGAAATGGGAGGTTTGATATGGGCCTGTAATTGTTCATTACTGAAGCATCTAGATTATTCTTTTTTAAGAGCGGTTTAATGACTGCAGTTTTCAGGGCCTGTGGAAAAATACCAGAGTGAAGAGATTTGTTTACTATATGAAGTAGATCTGAGGCCATGCAAGGCAAAACATCTTTGAAAAATCCTGTTGGAATAATATCAAGGCAGCAGGAGGAGGATTTCAGAAGTTGAATAATGTCCTCTAGGTTTTTATCATTAATATGATGGAATTGTGTCATGATGTCTGAATTGATGTTAAGTGGAGATAGGGACAACACATTTGCTGTTCCTGATGCAGAGGCACTGACTGCTTGTCTGATGTTCTGAATTTTGTCAGTGAAAAGGAGGCAAAATCATTGCACGCCCTGGTGGATAGAAATTCAGAGGCTACTGACACTGGGGGGTTAGTTAGTCTGTCGACGGTAGCAAACAAGGCACGTGCGTTGTTTTTGTTTTTGGTAATGATGTCAGAGAAGAACGATTGTCGTGCGTTTTTCAATTCCAAATTATAAAGGCCAAGTCTCTCTTTATAGATTTCAAAGTGAACCTGGAGATTTGTTTTTCGCCACCTGCGTTCAGCTTTTCGACATTCTCTTTTTTCTGTTTTCACGCTCATGGCCTTTCTCCATGGAGATATTTTCTTGCCAGACACTTCCTTTACCTTAGTTGGAGCAATGGCATCTATACAAATGTTTATTTTTGGATTAAAATGATCTACTAGCTCATTTACTGAGATGTTAGCAGGGGCAAGTGTGGAAGAGAAATTCTGAGTAAACATTTCCCTAGTATTTTCAGTTAAATATCGCTTTGTGGTTACCTCTTTTTGAACATTTTTGTGAACAGAAATAGAGCTCTCAAAGAAAACACAGGAATGGTCAGAGAGTGCAACATCAGTCACCACAACCTTAGAGATATTCAGACCCTTTGAGATAATTAAGTCCAGAGTGTGCCCCTTATTGTGCGTGGGCTCCGTCACATGCTGAGTCAGTCCATAGCTATCAAGAACATGAATATGAAATGAACATTTTATGGCATATATGAACATGAGGTAAAGGCAAGTGTATCCATATAGCTAATTTCAACAACATTAAAAGCATTAAGATTTAGTGCAACATATGGTCATCAAAAAGCCAAAAGTTACATTGCTGTGCAACTTGAGAGAACACACACACACACACACACACACACACACACACACACACACACACACACACACACACACACCACACACACACACGCACACACATATATATATTTGTCTTTTTGTGAGGACCCTCATTGAAATAACACATTCCATAGCCTTTAAACCTAACATCATTTGACGTTAAACCCCTTTCCTATTCAATTAAACACATTCAATGTTTATCTATTGTAAAAGCAATTGGGCTATTTTAAACACACACACACACACACACACACACACACACACACACACACACACGCACACACACACACACACACGCAGTTTACTTTTGCAAAGAGTTGAGGCCCGGCGCATTCATCTAGCTCTGATTAGATGACAGTTTCATCCTCCCCATGCAGCCCACATGTCTCCTGTTCCGAGCAAATTCAACACGTACACAACCCAACAATGAGGGGGGGGGGGGAGAGACAGAAGGATCCACAAGGGAGTGTAAAGAGCTGACAAGAAATGAATCATCATAAATCTTACATCGAGGAATGTGGTTAGTGCAATCATGTATTATTAAAGTGGAATTTTTAAACCACAGTAATAAATACAGTGGGATTTGGAAATCATTACAGAATACAAAGATTACATTACATTACATTACATTACATTGCATTTAGCTGACGCTTTTGTCCAAAGCGA